CCCATTTCTGTTTTTCCTCATTTTGGAAATTCTGGTCTCTAAAGCATATGATCAAAGTACAGGCCTTCCAGCCACATTTTACACAGTGCTTACCACAGCTCACTGTCCCATGCCAGGACACTGGATGGACAGTAGGAGGGAGACACGAGGCAGTCCCCTTCCCTCTCCTTGTGGCCAGCTCTCCCTACCCTGTGTGCATACTGTAAAAGTGGGTATGAAACTTTCCAGTAGTTTTTTTTTCTATTCTAACAGAGCAAATCAAATTTGTCCTGTCATTCTCTTTATCTCTTTTTTTTCCTTTTACAGACGTACCTTCTCTTCTTTCATTTTATTTGTTCCTCTTCTCTTCTTAGAGCTTTTCTACCTTCCAAATACGAAATACAAGACTTACCTTACCAAATTCGGTAAGGGGTAGGTAGCATGGCTGACCTCACTTGGAAAACATTGTGTGTGTTCTGTCCTTCATAAGAGAGATTCACCTGGATGCAGCCACAGCCTTTGTTACTTTTATGTCCATGAATTTTCCAACAACTGCTCGTCAGGGGCAGGAGGGCTGAGTGGGTAGCCAGGAAGTAGAGAAAAGGTGGCTGGCTCCTCCACTGTCAGCTTCCAAAACACCACATTGCAGCCAGTTGAGCTAACTGGGTGCAACTTGTTAGTAGAAAGATTGTGCCTGTGTGGAGAATTATGCCAAAATTTCTGCTTCAATCCCCAGCAACAGATTCTTTTGCGTGTCTTAAAAGGCCATTTGGGAAGTGGACTGTACATGCAGTAAATAGGATTTCGGTTAAATGGTTATATTTGTTTCCCAAAGTGTATCAGAGGAGAAGCTAAGCTCTTTAGAGCATGTGTTCATTAAAGATTTGAAGTGGGGTGGGAAGCAATAAAAAAAAAAAAGGCCAGTGGGTTCTCTTGTGAGATAGTTTTTTGTTCCTATGAATTGAATCCACTCTGTGAAAAGTTTCAAAAAGAGACTGACAAGAATGTATTTACTTTGATCCAATGTGAGGAGTGTTCCCTACTACAAATGCCCTTTAATTTAGAAAATGGTTGAAAAGTCTATTTGAAAGTACATACAAATATAATATGTAAATAAGCCTTAATTAGTTATTTCAATTAATTATTTTTTGTCTCTGCTTTACAGCTCTGTTTTTCTCCCCATAATGTTGTTTGTCAGAGTCCAGCTTTGGCACCTTCCAAAAAATGTGTTTTTCTAACAGTGATTATTAAGAGAACACATCTTTTTCCCCCTGTTGAAAACCTCACGGTGAAATCCCAAATTGTGTATCTTTATAAGGAATTATTTCAGACATTTTTAGTCTATGATTTGCTAGTGTAGTGTTAAGAAGGAAACCTTGCAGTTAATTGAAAGAACGGGTGTTTCCTTCTTCAAATAAATGGAATGTGTTGTTTTTAGAAAATAAGTCTACATCAGGCCAGCAACTATTCCCTAATCTTCTTTCCTGACCATCCTGTGTCCTTTCAGTGACAAATACATGGATTTGAAAATTAAAAGTTTTAATTCTTTTTAAGTGAAATAAGACTTTTCTCAGTGGGGACAATGAATGCTGTGGAAAAACACTGGTAAAATGAAGTCAGTAAATTTTTGGAAATTGACTAAGAACCTGCCATGTTGATTTTGGAAGCCTAGAAGGTAAACAAGGCAGCCAGTCCCCTTCCCTCTCCTGTGGCATCTCCCCCTACCTTTAGGCATGCAGTAAAAGGGGATGAAACTCACCAGTTTTATTTTTTTAATTTTAATGGAAATTTTATTTTTTCTATTTTAACTATGTGACACATTATGAGCTTTTCACCACACTGTCAGTAGGCCCTCTGCACTTCGATAGAATTAGAATTTTAAAGCTTGGAGGAACCTTTGCAGCCACCTAGAGATCGGGGGACCATCCTCCGCTTTTATCCACCACAGTTCCTGGTGGTGGTTGGGTGGTTGGGGAGAAATGCTGGTCTCCGGGCCCTACCCCAGATCTACAGAATCTTGGGGAGGGGGGAGGGAGGAGAGGAGGGGGGGGATCTACAATTTTTACAAACATCTCCAGAATATTCTGATGCACACTGAATTTGACCAACTGCCGATTCAGGCTAACCTTGTATTTCATGTTGAGGAAAGCGGGCCGAGAGAGTTACGGGTCAGGCTCACAGTGTACCCCAGGCACTGACAAGCTTCCCGACTGTGGCCTCGTGCTTACCTATGCACCACATATCCAGAGCAGTCCTAGGCGTGTGCAGAGGGTGAGATCTGCTCCTGTCATTCGGGGTGATGTCAGCATGGAGAGTAGGAGAGCATGGTTCTAGACAAGTGTAAAGGTAAAGACACCTAAGGACCAGAAGTAGACGTTTTTGTCTAAACTAAAACCTGAATGAGCCTGAGCCATGTTCTTTCAGCCTTTCTCTTTTATGAGCCAGGAAACCTGGGCAAAGTGGCAAGGATGTTTAGCTCCTTTAGTTAGCTCATATAGCTGAACCCAGCATGGCAGGCTTTGGCCCTGTATGCACGGTAGATGTACACATTTTTAGGCTATATGCTTTCTCAAAATGCAAATTTGTGTGTTTTAGTATTGCCTATGTATGTTGCATCTAGAAAATGGCAATAAATTCATTAAAAAGTATAGACTGATAAACCCAGTAGTACCTTCTAAAGCACATAGAAATATCTAGCAAATGCTTACTGATGTTTATTATATCCCAAATTCAAACAACTAAAAAGCTAAAAGAACGGAAATTTATTTTTGCAGTATTTTGTGGTGAGAGTTTTAACTATAATGATGATCCTGAATTTCTTCTATAAGATCATAATCACTTTCTAAATCATTAGGAAAGACTGAATTCTATTCAGTGTCAGGTCAGTGTTAAGTCATTTTGACTATCTGCTAATTTTTGGAAACCGCAATATTCCAGCATCTAGAATATAAAGTTCCACTCAACTGTGTTCCGTAGTTCATATATGAACACATGTGTAATGTATGATTCTTAGAATCGACAACATATTTTCACAGGGAAATTAACAAAAGTAGGCTGTTTCAAGAGGCAGGTGACCAGGTTAGGAAGATCAGTTCTAGGATAGCTATGGGAAATGAAAATGTCCTCATATGCCTGTGGGCGTATGTGTGCCAGACAATATTCAGTTTGTCTTCCCTTCCAGATAAACATTTATTGATGGTCTGCTGTGCACAAAGCTCTGTGTTAAGTGCTGAGGATAAAAAGGAGATCTGAGACGTTCATAGTGTGGTTCTGGCTGTACAAGCACATACAAAGGCCTAAGAGTTGAAGGAGACACGTGCTAAATGCCAAATGGGCCATGTGGTCAGTGAGTGCGGCAGTGGGCAGTCGGCATTCCATTGTTCATAACCAAGTGATTGTGACAGCACCTCCTGCCCCACAGAAGCAGCTCCTGTGTTTGGTTCTTCCTTATCTTCCACACATATCTCATTCCTCAGGCAATCTGAAAAGCAGGAGCTTTGTTGTTACCCAATAGTAAAGAAATAGCTATTCTAGGAAGGAAGAGTATTGAGCTCTAGAAGCATAAATACCAACACATTTACTTTCTATCTTTTTTTTTTCCAGTTACAGTTGACCTTCAATATTATTATTATTTTTTTTACTTTCTATCTTTCAGAACCTCTTGTATTTAAAAACAATAGGACCTAATTCTCTTTTTGGAGGCTGCCCCTGTGAAACTGCTTGGTTACTGATGCCATTTTATTTGTGATGAAAATGAAAGTCCTGCGAGTTTTGTGATACTCTTATTCATGCAATTCATGTGAATTAGTATCTTCTTAGGTTGGCGGTTTGTTAAATAAATGTGTTTCAGCTCCTTCAAATGGAAATGGGGCACAACACTGACCATTATCATCATTCGTGGTAGTAATTCATTTTGTAGCCATATCATGAGATAGGCTTAATGTGAGATTTCTTTGATAACTTCTTAGCACCCAACCATGAAATGGGCCATATGGAAGGATTTGTAAAATGAAAGCCGTTGCTCGAAAATGTCAGAAAAAGGATGCTGCTTATATAATCATGACTATTTGTTCTGCATTTCGTCCTTTGGGTTGTTTGTGACAGAATCCTTATACTCAGCAGTAGAAGGTAGTTCCTCCTATCCAAAGAAAACTAAGCATTTTTGTGGCATGGCCATGATTATTACCAGGTCCCCCTGACAGTACCAGCACAGTTCTCACAGAACTGTGGACCCCTTTGGACAGGAAAAGGGCCTTAGAAATCATTCACAGGCAACCAGCGGCCTTGAATAATGGGCAGGATTTGGCAAAGCAGAGATCAGAGAAGAGGGTGTTGTGTAAGGAGAAAACAAGATATGGAGGGTGGAGTGAGCATACTGTTTATTTCGGGAACAGTGAGGAGAGTTCTCTGACTGGAATAAAGAGGTTACGTTCCCACTGGAGAGTAGTTGGAGTAAGTAGTTGGAAAGGTGAGATGGGGGCCAATCAAAGGACAAATTCCTTTCATTGATTTTGTAAGCAAAGGAAGGCTACATATCAGTTTTTAGGATCGTTTTAGAGTCAGACAAGCTTAGAGCCAAATCCAAGCTCCGCCTCTTATTGGCTGGGTGACCTCAAGACAAAGTACTCAACCTGGCTAAAACCTTGGTTTATTCATCTGTAAAATAGAGCTGATTTTATCTCCCTCGTAGATGTGTGCGTTCTATCAGATCCTGTATGAGAAGCTGCAGCAAAGTGTCTCGTGGAAAAAGAGTTTCTGAGGAGGGAAGCAAGGAATAAAAGTGGGTTTGTCGAGAGACTGATCTCTGGCAGCTGCGTGCAGGAGAGATGGAATCAGAAGAGACCAGAAACGGACCAGTTTCAGTGTTTCCCCGAGAGGCAAGCGGGTGGAAGCTGTCAGGCTGGGAAGGAGGGGCCACATCTACACATGGAGTCTCTGCAATTTCTTTCCTGTTGTGGAGTTTTGTTTAGCTTGAGGGTTGTGTAACCTAATCATAGACTTTTTTCTTTTGCTTTGAACAGGATGCCAGCGATCCATAGGCCTTTCCAATGGGAAAGCCAAGGTGTGCAATTACAGTGGGTGGTATTACTGCAGCAGCTGCCATGTTGACGACAGTTTTCTCATCCCAGCACGCATAGTCCACAACTGGGATACTGCAAAATATAAGGTAGGTACAGAAGCTGGGTTCACTTCATAATAGCAATTTGGATGGTCACAAGGTGTCACGTGGCTTACAACGATAATAACATAAGAATTGGAAGCAGACTTGGTTAGGCAGTCGCATGAAAGCTACAAGATCTTTTCCCACTTTATACTCGAATGCGTTATCTCCCTCCCTTCCATGGGAGACTGCCAGGCCTCATATGCTGATGATCCCCATTCTTCTCTCCAGCTCCACTTTTGCTCCTGGAGGTGAGATTTGTGGAATTAATTGCCTAATGGACATCTCAACTGTAGTTTTCAACCTAGCTGCCTTGGAGATATGTGAATCGGTTAGCTACACGGTACAGCCTTTCCACCCTTGCTTAAGCCCGGTAACAGAATTTGGCAAGTCGAGGAATCTAACCCCGCCCTGGAGTGGTAGTCTAGGCTTAGGATTCTTTTATGGTCCTGTGTCCTGCCTCATAACGGAGAATCCTGGTACCTGATCTGACGAGAGCTGCTCTGATCCCCCTGCCAGCATATTGTCACATCTGCCTTGGATGAACTTTCCAGGCAAGGTGCTGTCTACAAAACCAGGCTGGATGACTGTTTTAATACTGACTTGCTGATAGATGTCTAAGACTTGCTCTCACTGTAACTGTATCACCTGGGAGCAGGGTAGGCAGAGAAGTGTCACCTGCCTGTAATCTTGGAAATCTAAAACGAACATGAAAAGTGTGAATGGTTTACATCCCCGGGCAGCCCTGTCTCCTGTTCTACCCATAACCATCCACATCCTCACTGTCTTCAGATGCCTCATTCCAATCCTTCTCAGCATATGACCTTGCCTCCTACTTCAAGGAGAAAAATTGAAGCTATGAGATAGGACTATGAATACCTACAAACCCATCTGCGTTTGTACCTGCCCTGTCTGCTTCCCTTCCTAGCTTGGGGGGAGATCATCCTTCCATGTCTATTCCAGATGTTTTTACCCATCTGCAGGGTCCCTGCTCTTTCTCCCAGAGCTGACAGAAGTGGTCCTCGTTGGTGGAATCTTCTCTGATGCTCCCCACCGTCCCCACCTGCTCCATGGCTCGCTCTCCCCATGGCACCACCATGTCGCGTGTGGGTCTTTCGAATTGCATTTATTTAGGGATGATTAACAGGAGCTTGTTGTTAAACAGGCATTGGGCTGAATCCTACCTCCACTTCTAATTAGGTGCTTGATTTGTTGGGGCAAATTACTTGAACTTTCCTGAGCCTCTGTTTCTTAATCTGTACAAAGAGCCCAGACTGCCTGGGTTCAAGTCGTAGCTTTGTCATTTATTAGCTGTCTAACCTGGGTAAGTTATTTAGCGTCTCTGTGTTTCAGTTTCCGTGTCTGTAAAATGCCGCAATAACTCATATGGTTGCTGCTGGTTAAATGGGTTAACGCACATGAAATGTTTAGAATAGTATCTTGAACATGGTGTGGGCCAAATAAGCATTTGTTCTTATTATAATTCATGTGTTTACCTAAAAGAGTTGTGTGAATTGCGATAATATAAGAAAAGCAATCTTCAAATGACTGTGAGTGGAAATTGTTGTTATAATGTTTATTATCCTCACATTTGTATAACAGCCGGCTGAAGGTGAGCTCCCAGGGCATAGGGGACCTCTCTTGCCGCAGTTCCTGGCACATAGTATTGGTGAGAGGAATGAGAGAATGCAGCCTGTCCTGTGGGCGCCTGAAACTCAAATGTACCCCAGGTTGGCTTTATCACACTCGCCCAATGTTCCCCCCAGTACATGTGACTCCCCCATTCACCCCTGCACTGCTGGAGACACGCTGGACACTTCCCCCGGCCACGCCTGCCCTGCATCATCTGTGATATCAGGTAGCAGATATCACAGACCGTGCTCTCCACTGCACTGCAGTCCCACCACACTGACTCGAACCTGCAGCATCACTCACCTGAAGGAATTCAGGGCCTTCCTGATGGTGCTGCCTGCCTTCAAATTTTGCCTCAACAATATTCCAGAAAAGTTCTAATTTGCCCCAATAATACTTCAAAAAAGTCCTAATCTCACCTTGGGTGATTTTTGTACCCTCTTTAGTCTCAGTGTCTTCACATTCAGAATGGAGATAATGATAATAATTGTACCTACTTCTTAAGGTTGCTGTCTGCTTAAATGAATGATTCACAGAAAGCACCTAGTGCGTGTCTGGCACATAGTAAGTGCTCCATTGAGGCTAGCTTCTACCATGATTGTACATAAGATAAACACAAATCTGTGAGCTTGTCATAAAGACCTTTTGTCATCTCTAGCCCCTGCCTTTCTAGCCTCTGCCTCCACTGCCTGCCCCCCCCCCACCATGAGTCTCTCCAGTGAGATCACACTCCTGATTCCTGCGGCCTGCCACGCTATTTCACACCTCTTGTCTTCCACTTGCCCTCCTTCAGCATGGCAAATCCTAAACCCAGCTTAAACCCCACTTCCTCTCCTGATTCTTTCCTTCCCCTCCACGAGACAGAGTTATCATTCTCTCCTCTGCATCTTGTACTTGACACTCTGAATATAGGCTATAAATATATTTGCCATGTGTGTATTAGATAAAAACTTATTTAGAGGGGAAGAACACTGGTTGCATTTGGTTTAGACTGTTTTAGATTAATCTGCTTGGAGCAGGGCTTTGACAGCTAAGAGAGGTGTGGAGAGAGCGAGTGAGTGAGGCAGTCCTAGCCCCGTGATCCTTGAGGGCTTAGGCTGGTGGCACCTGCCAGCACAGTACATGCCAATCAGTGGAGCTAATGCCAAAAAGGTGTCACAGAATGAGGAAAATAGAAAATTCAGGTATGGTTTGTTTATGCAATGGAGGCGGTAACCCAGGTCCGTTAGCAGTGAGCTGTCAAGCCCACCCCAACCATCAGTTCAGCCATCACTGACACTGGCAGCCTTTCTGGGAAGCAGACATTTTGCTGCGGTGGCCATTCAAGTGACAAGGTTTGATTTTGAGAGGATAGGTAACTAATTGAAGATATCAGGTACCCTCACTCCATCCACGTTACACACGAGGAAAATCTCCTTTGTCAGACCATACCTTCCCAGGATCTCAGTGGGCCAGGGAAGATTTTAAAGCCCAAACAGAGCTGGTCGATTTTATCTGGATCATCTCTTACTGGCATTAAGTAACTATATTCCTTTTAGTGCAGAGTCTGTCTGTCTTTGCTCAGATGCAGGATTTAACTTAATGTTCCTAATTGTGAGGATCAATTCAGACCTATCAGTTTCCAAGACCAGACATCATTCTGTTAGATCTGCCTGCTCTCCCTAATAGCAAGTACGTGACAGGCTTGGCTCTCCATTTAAAAGAGTGAAAAAATGGTTTTGCAGAGCAGGATGAAATCTGTCATCTTAAGCGCTTCCTTATCTGCCCTCTGGAGTAATAATAATCCTAATTATTTTTAAAGCAGGATTTCATCTATTTTCCAGGATTGCAAATTGAATTGAGCTCTAGGATTACCCAGCAGCTAAACCCTATCCTCAAATTCTATGGCCATTTTCTAATGAGATTCTCTTTGAAGATAACTTCCCCTGAACCCCCCACCCCAACCATTGAAAAATACCAAGTATGACAAAGAGGCAGTAAGGAACTCAAACTTAGCTCTTCCTAAATAGTTCTCCTCCATTGTGCTTTTAAAAAATATTTGTGTATCCTAGCCTGAATATTCACATTCCATTTAGCGAGGGGTTTTCCGTGTTACATAAACCATTTCCTATCTCTCTATCTCGAGAGGCATTCAAGGCAAGCTCTGTTGCTCTTGCAGAGGCCGGGGAGTAGCTGGCTGGTGGGAAAAACCACTTGTTCAGAGTCACTTGGAGATTTTGAGAACAATCTGTAATTAAACTTAAGTTGTCCTGATTCCTCCTCTGTTAGCCCACAGTGCTAACAGAAGTATTATGGTTGAGATTGATTTCAAGAAGATTTCGCCATGATTTTTCACAGTAGCGTTGGGAAAAAATACTGGAAGGAAACCATGTACCAAAACAATGAGTGGCTGTTTGACCTTGGTAAGATTAGGGCTGATAATTTTTTCCCCCTTTGTCGATCTTTATTCTCCCAATTTTCAGTAATGTGACTATATTATTTTTATGATTTTATAAATTTTAACTGTCACTTAGCTCCATATATTCTATTTAAGAAAATATGTACTAGAAATTCGCCTCTTTTAATGCCTCAGAATTATAATTGGAAATATGAGCATTCTGTCCTGTGATAAGTAACTTTTGTGTGGTTCGATGTGGTGTGGGAGGCTATTTTTCAACAAACAGATTGCCACCCACTGCTACACTTTTCTTTTTTGATTATAATATACTTTCACAAATTTCAAGATTCAAAAAGTACAAAGGGCATATACACGTAGATAATCTCCCTCCCGCCTCTTTCTCGCACCCACCTGTTCTTCTTCCCACAGGCACCCAAATCACGCCTTTCTTATGTAGCCGTCCAGAGAGAATTTTCCATCCATGTGATTTTTACACAGAAATGGCAATAGGCGATATAGTATACATGCTGCTCTTGGAGAACTTTTCATTTGGATCATAAAACTCTCCCTTTGGCTTTTTTCTTATAGTCACTCCATATTCTGTCATGAATTTTACACACACACACACACACACACACACACACACACACACACACACACACACCAGTTTATCCAACTATCCTTTCTTTGATGGACATTAAGATTTTTCCAGTCTTTTGCTATTATAGACAGCAATTCAATGAATAAGTTTATACATCATTTTAAATATAAGTTCTGTCATTCGTAAGTGAGACTGTCTGAGGTAACTTCCTAGACGTAGGTATGTACATTTCTGAGTTTGATGCATATTGCCACATTGTCCTTAATCGGGGTTGTATGCCATATTTTTACCATATGTCTTCTCGTAGGCACCTTTCTCCCCTGAGTACCAGCTGTCACTTCTGTTGTCACCATGCTGCCCTTCCCCTTTTCTACCTCATTACCTCTAAATTTGTTG